CGGAGAAAAACCAAAAAAAAAAAAAAAAAAAAAGGCTGGGGAGGTAGCTCAGCTCAGAGGTGGGGAATCCCTGGATTCGGAACTGCAAAACACAACCCAACACGCCTTGCAGTTTCCTACAGGGCAGAGGGGATAGCTGGCCCGTCTGTGACCTTCAAGGCCCTGCAACCCTGTGCTCCAGGCCACCCCACACACCTGTTTCCTCCTAGAAGACACTAGCCTGGCCTGGCCTCGGGGTGTCCACCTCGGTCCCCTCTGCTTGGGACCCTTCCTCTTCCCCGGGGGGAGGGTCACCCCAGCCTTCCGGCTGTGCCAGTGACCCCCCGTCCTGGTCCCCGTCCCCGGGGCATGTGCAGTTCCCCGTGGCCCCGGCAGGTGAGCGGCCTGCTTACCCAGGATGATGACCACAGTCTTGACCAGGCTGAGTGTGGTCTCTCGGTAGCGGGGGTGGCAGCTGACGTGCTCGGCCATGCGCTGCACTCGCCTCCGCACGTAGAAGAAAATGCGGGTGTAGACCGCGACCATGAGCAGGAAGACCAGCAGGCTGGACAGGGCCCACACGGCCAGGTAGGTGCGGCTCAGCAGGGGTGCCATGCGCGAGCAACGGTCCAGGGCGCACAGGCAGTGCCAGGAGTGGGCGGGCAGCAGCCCCAGGCCCAGGGCGGCCACCCACACGCCCACGATGAGCAGGACCACGCGCCCGCGGGGCAGGCGGCTGTGCAGCTGCACGGCCATCACGCTGCGGTGCCGCTCCACCGCGATGGCCAGCAGGGTGGCCACGGACGCCGTCAGGCTGGTGTCCAGCAGACCCTGCCGCAGGAACCAGCCCTGGAGCGAGAGCCTGGCCGTGCGCGGGCCGGTGTGGAACATGAGGAAGAGGTAGGCCACGCCGGCGAACAGGTCGGCCGCCGCCAGGTTGCCAAGCAGGTAGTAGATGGGCTGGTGGAAGCGGCGGTTGGAGGCGATGGCCGTGATGACCAGCAGGTTAGTCAGGAGGACCAGCACGCTGACGGTCAGCCCCAGCGCCACCACCACCACATCCTTGGGGCGCCAGTGGGAGCTGAGCTCCTTGCCGCTGTTGTTGTAGAAGAAGCCAACCGTCTCGTTGTAGTGGCACTGGCCCATGGCGGCCGTCTGGGGAGCAGGGAGACGAGACAGCGGTCAGCGCGGGCGGCCGGGAAGGGCTTCGGGCAGCGGCCGCTGGGCTGCAGGGGACAGGCGGAGGAGCCGACCCAGGAAGGGCAGGCTCACGGGGCGCGGGTGGGGCGCGCTCATCTGCCAAGCGGACTTATGAATGAGCCCCCGGGTCAATGGCCCCTTTGGTTTTCAGCCCGGAGAGCGCCCGCAGGACGCGTCGGCACCCGCCCCGGCCACGCGCCTCCAGTCCGGGCACTCGGGGGCGCGGGGAGCG